GTACAGGTATGTAACAGTGCGGTTAGGTAAGTGCAGTGGCCTGTAACGTTATAATTAGTAGAGAGAGAGAGAGAGAGAGAGAGAGAGAGAGAGAGAACAAAGGAGGGCAAAAGAGAAAGAACGGAAAATGCACTTCGCGTGAATAATTACTCAACAAAGGACTAACTCAAAAAGAAAATAAATAACAAAAAATATCGCAGGCAATTACAAGGCCATCGCATAAGATGAATTTTCCATCCATTAAATAGACATAAAAGCAGTTTTATCATTTACGACATATTTTTAGCAGTGACGCTGTTAAGATATAACTAGGTCTATCATATTGTTGCCAAGGACATGTGCCCTGTCAAAAAATGAACTTTGCCAAAATAAATGCGTCTCAGAAATGTATTCTAACGGTAACTACCAAATATAAGATATCGTTCACATTTTTTTTTACCAAAGAGAACATAGCTGCATTTTCCAACCGGTTGCAAAATGCGTGGCTACAAAGTGCGGCTCTGCAAGCGGCTTTTCCAAATACTGTTAGTGAGATTTTTAAATAAGCCCATTTCCGTATTTTTCATAATTGAATTCAACATACAATTGTCAATTGTTAGTTGATTGGCCATTGCATGATAACGCCAGTTATTCATAATCATTTAAAGACTATATTTGCATTGAACATTTGATCACTTGACAAAATGAGGGTCTCAGTTGTTTTAAGACATAAAATTCTTGATATTTCGGGGGACTTAGAAGAAAACGCCCATATCTTAAGAGTCATTTTTACATTGTTCATTGTCTTTGACATGGAACCTTTGGTCTAAAAACAACGTCATCTTTTTAATGAGTGCACAATAAATGGCCATTCATGCTTGATACATAGTTTAAATTCATCATTATTACTGGTACTTCCAAACCTTTTTCAAAAACTCGCGTGCTGTTTACGCATGATTGGTAAAAAAATACATTACAAAAATGTCATGGAAGACAATACCCGTTATCAGGATTTACTATCTGTTATGGAGGTGATTATCAAGTGATGTCGTGCCATGTCCAATTTTCTTTAGCTTTAACGAGTCACCTTCGTAGAAAATTGTCACAAAGGTGAGTCGATAGTACCATACACGAGCGGACTGATAACGCGAACATAATAATTACGACATGGATTACCGTCCATTAGCCTTTTTAAACCCTGCATGCAGGTCTGAATTTCGATAGTTACCGTCGGTGAAGGCTAACATCTGTTTATCCTTATGGTTTTCAACATGCAGTACTTAAAAAAACAATGGTTTAAGAGTCCAACTTTCGGTTTGAAGAACTGAATAGCCCGAAACTCTTCTTTTTGTCCGTTAGTCGAGACAGGCCGTCTGAACATAAAGGAAAAGATGGTGAGAGAACTGGAACAAAAGTACCCAATATTTTGCAGGTCGGAAAAAAAAGAAAAATACAGACAGGACAATTGTTGATTTTACTGTTGTTGTTCTTGTTTCTGTTTTAACATTAAAATGTGCCATTAGCCGTAGATGTTTAAATATATCATCAACTCAAGCATGTATCAAAAGTGCACCTTAAGATACGCAACACAAAACACACCCTTCTGAAAAAGACCTCCAACAGTGCGAAACAGCAATTGCACTAAACATCGAGAAGACAACACAGTCATGAATGATGTGACCGTTTCGTCAGCTCTCATTCTGTTCTAGAGTTCTAGAGGACGCTGGAATGTTTGAATGTTTTTAAATCTTATCGTAAAAACAACATTACCTTGTACAAAATTATATATGCTACATTTGATACAATGAATATGGACCACAGCCTACTACGGTGATACTGAAAACTGCAGAAAATGCGCCAGACAAACATAAATAATGAATACAACCTTATGGGTAGGAAAACATCAAATCTAACGCCGTTTCCCCTTCTTTTCTTCTGTTCCGATTCTCCTGTACATTCTTATTTAGCGCTCATGTACATATATAAATATACTGTATTGTTATACTTGTAAAAGTCCTACGCTACATGTTTTTTAATACGGTGGGCGTTTTGAATTGCATATCAGTAGATTCTCCATATACCCTGCGGCTTGAGTCATTACGTCAGGCAAAACATACATTTTCCCAAGAGCAATTTTCAGAACAGTCGACTAAATAGGATAATTTTAAACGCCGGGCGTTGCGGTTTACGACAGTCCATGGTCCAAAGAGGTAAAACAATGTCCATAAAATTAAAAAGACGCAACCAAATCTCACCAAATTTACCCACAATTAGCATCAACATGTGCTCGTTAAGTGCCGCGTGTCAAATAGCGTGCGTTTCTACCGCGTACTTCAACAAGGGCAAGAATTTCCTTTTGTAGAAAGTTCCCCATTCATCCAGAAAAACTTGGTGAAATTGTTCCAGATTATTAGGGGGGTTCAATCTTCTCTGTTGCTACCACAAACTTATGACTCAATAGGGTATGCATCAGGGCTCAAAGAAGGATGTTCGATCCTCAGATTCCATTGCGTTTCTGCAACAAATCATTCACCAGACGAGAATTGTGAGCAAGTGCGTCGTCACGATGAAACCTCTAGTTATCTTTAAGTCACCCCTTCCTAATGGAGTGAGATTTCCGTTTAAATGAAATAAGTAATTAGTTGTCAATTTCAAGATGAGCGTCGTTCTCTGTGACCAAAAATGAATAAAATGGGTCGTTGGCGTTTAAATAAGAGCGATGCAGATGTAATTAAAAGGGGTGGGATAAGTGATGGGATAAGTGAAGATCTCCATATACAGCAGATCACAGCACCCTGAACACCATTGTCATATCTGTATGTGCATTACTACTGAAGTCAACACCATGTGGATAACGCATTAAAGTAAACATGAAACTGCAAATGTCTCTTTTCCTCTTGGGCCTCTGGTCTTCATTTTTTTTTATCTTAGTTGCAATTTAAAAGCCATTCATGGTTGGCATTAACAAAATGAGAAATTATTCAATTAATACAAGTCACATGCAAGACGCATATAATCATATCTCTTCTTTTCCTAGATATATCAAACCACAACAATTGCTTCTGAATGGATTCCCGCCCAATCATTAGAAAAAAATGGGCTCTCGAGTCACGCAACCTGCTCTGTTATAAAAAACTGACATGTGTCACTGTCTCACTATCCACTCCAGCCTTTGTTTGGCAAACGTCCCAGATCCACTCCAGTGAGAGAGAAAGTCGCGCTGTCAACTTTGACCATGAAGGCCGTATTTTTGTTAGCTCTTATTGCCGTCTGCGTTGCCATGACCATGGGCATGGGATACGGCAGACGCTACGGCTCTGGAAGGTACGGTTATGGTGGCTACAGTGGTGGATACGGCGGATATCGTGGTGGCTACAGAGGTGGATACGGCGGTAGATATGGTGGATATGGTGGATACAGCAGAGGATATGGTGGATACAGCAGAGGATATGGTGGATACGGCGGTAGATATGGTGGATACGGTAAAGGATATGGTGGATACCGTGGATAGATATTCCACCGGCTATAAACATTTTTACAACGGAGAAAGGTAAGTTGTTTTATGGCAGTGCTTTGATTTTTCACTTTTGCAAGAATGAAAATCTATAATTAGTCCGGGAAAAATAGTGTCATAGTGATAATTATTTAAAAGATGTTTCAACAAAAGGAGGTACAGTATTTGATCCGGAAAGTAAATGTTTTGAATGTAAATGACACGATAATTTTTGTAATCCCGCTTTGATCTCTCCTGTTGGTCGTTGTACAGAGCACTTGCTAAGCTGATATTTTACAAGGATCAGGGGGCTACCGGGGATTGGGGGGGGGGGGGGCATGAAGCATGCACTTGCTGAGATAAGATTTAAGCCGTCCATTTAAATCATTCTGCACAAAACTTAAAAAGCATTATTGGTGCAAACAATCCACAAAACGGTTGTGCATATTTTTTTTTATATTTTTGATCAATGCCCACAGTCAACCTATTATTTATCGTTCGTTCAAAATAATGTATGGAACCTAACTTAATTTATTTATTATTGATTAATTCATTTTCATTAATCTATTAATTTATCATTGATTTATTTCACTTGCATTACTTAATACTATTTTAAAATATTTATATTTAATTTCCAGTCAATTTATCTATTCTCTTTTATTTATCATTCATATCTACAATGTACCTGCTTTTCTTTTCCATTTACTTGTTCATTATTTTTTCGTTCTTTATGTTGTATGAGAGTCGGAAACACAATACTTAATAGTCATCAACAGATCGTGCGTTGTCAGTGAAAATTCATTTTATGATTACAGAGGAGAGTAGGAATTACAAATAACAAAAATGCGTTATATTGGTTCGTGTAGTCAGAATATGCCACTGACAACTATTTACATTTATTCATGAATCGTTTTTTATGTATCTTCATTGCCAATATCACCCCAAGATGTTTTGATTTCATTATTATTTTACAATTTTCGTGTACTCTTTTTTATTTTAGCCATATTGACATGCGCCACAAAATCCATTGGTCCTTAGAAACGACTCTGCAGACCGTGACCAGGTTGTAAAGAAAACCCAATCCTTCTACGCTCATGTTAACAGCTGACAGATTTGTCTAGAGAATTTGCTGTAGCTTAACTTATTTTCAACAATAAATGCAAGTTTTGTGGCTTTAAACTGGCTCGTCGTTTTCTCTTTATGTCGTTTCTCGTCACGGTATAGATTATATATAAAAAAGCAGTTGCGAAGGGGAAGGGTGGGTGAACGGAAAGCACATTTTGTTCAGCAGTATGTAAAAACATCCATGTATTGCTAATAAAAAATTTAATCAAATTGAAAGCTTATTACATATTATAAAACGACAACAATCGTGGCAGAGGAGTTTAGCGGAATATACGTTATTTGTTTTTATTTCTCTTTTTTAAGATAACATTACACCTGGTACTTAAAAAGTATTACCGTTAAGCGGTGCAATCCGTCTGTTTGTATCGTCGCGAAACTAATGGTCGCGATGATGTATAAAGGTTTATTGGCATAAATGTAAATGACATTGTCCTAGTGGTGGTTGGATCTCTGTTACAATAATATCTGTGCTGTCATCATCATCAGAGGTTCTCTTCTCTGACTGGGGCGAGCGTGGAAGATGCCTGTCACTTCTTCTTGACGGCCTTTCTTGGTCATGCATGAAATACTCCGAGTCTAAGAAATCTACTGAGTTCAGTTTTAGTTTTTTCTTTTAAATTTCGAGACACAGAAGTATGCGCCTGTGCATTTTTTACGATCATATGATATATTCAAAATCTAATACTTGTATACAAGAATATTAAAAGCGCTGTAATTCATAAATATATGTCTTTAAAACCATCTTTCATTATCTCTGTCATATGATACAATAATTCCACACAAAAAAAGGCTATTTCCCTTATTATAATGGAAACATTGGAGCAACATATACGACATTAAAAATTGTCAACTTTTTAAAATATCTATGGAGTGCAATTTGCGAAAGTTTCTTTCTTAGATAGCTTGTTTTTAATAGTAAGAACACACAACATAATAGGGTAAAGACACACCATAATGAGTGTTGCAATCTCTATCCTATTGGGAGAGTCAATAGTTACCACGTGTGGGACACGCTCGTTCACCTTGACGTCCTTTGCTTCTGGCTTGTCGATTACAGCATTAGAGATCAAACCCGAAGATTCAGATTTTGGCTTGCTTGTCTCATTGATAAAACCCGATACTTGAGATTTTGGTTGCCTGAGGAATGCTTTAACCGTGGTCTTTACAGCAGTATGCCGAATGGAGGAATTCCTCACACAAATGCCCAATTCGGCGCTGAAATAATACCCTGTAAAAGTGGTAATACGAATTACATGTAATTCTGTTAAGATATCATTAAGTCTATCAAAATGTTGCCATAATAGGACATGTGTCCTGTCAAAACGTGCACGTTTCCAACATAAATATGTCTCAGAAATATATTCTAACGATAGGCCTAACCGTACCAAATATAACTAAGGTAGGCCTATCGTTCACATTTTTTTACCAAAGCGGGCGCCAAAATAATCATTTAGAATTAAAAAGGCAAACTTGAGAAATTTGACGCCTCAGAAGATATGCATTTTTTTCAGTGTTGAAACGGGTTTTTACGCAACCGCGTATTTGTCAAAGATTAGCCTACATTTAAATCATTCTCATTTGAATCCTTCGTTTGTTACTATCCTTTTACGGTTATATTTCTTAATTCATATATTATTTAAATATGTTTTGAAATAAAATCTTCCTGAACAAATTCCGATTTTTTGTTTTGTTTTTGTTTTCGTTAATCACCTATTTTTGCACACGCGTTTATTTTGACATGACACATGGGCCGATAATTAGGTGACATTGGGAACAGATTCATTTACCTTTTTTGCAACTACCACATTCTACGTCATGATATACGTCACAGGGCTTCAGAATCACGCTGTTTTCGTAACACGCGCTGCATGGGAGACAGTCGCGTGAATCAACGTAGTCGTAGGAAAATGTTTTCCCATCTTCACAAGGCGTACAAACCGTGTCATTGAAGCCAGAACACTCGACAAGGGTCCCATTACCTGGAGCACATCTGGTGCAGGGGACACATTTCCAGGCGTTTTCACCAACACTTTGTTTGAATTCGATAAATTCGTCACAGACCGGCTGGCTTAATGCATCACACACCTGTACCTAAAAAATATTGCTTTACATATTCACTATATCAAGGGCGGATGCAGGATTATTTGAAGGGAGGGGAGGGGGCAGTTTTGTAAGAGTTACAGGCCTTGGGTGCAAAGCCGACCCTCGACCCCTTGATGTGGGGTTCGGTGTTTTGGAGGGCAAACGGCGCCATTTGGTGCAGTTTATAACCATGATTAAGCTCTTCAAAATTCTAATATCAAGAAACCGAAAGGGGGGGGGGGGAAGGGGGGGGGGAAGGACC